CGCATGATGCGCGACGCGCGCGTCGTGACGACGCCCGCCGACGCGAAGCACGACTTCCCCGCGGGTAGCGCGCGCAAGGTCTTCCAGGACGTCCAGCTCGGCGAGGACTCCGCGGGGTCCACGGAGGTCGGCGGCGGCGGCGAGTCGATGATCTACCCCGAGTTCCTCGAGGCGCTGGGCGCCATCGCCGTCTACAAGAACACGAACCCCTACATCTCCCTCCAGGACAAGCTCGAGACCTTCCTCAGCCACGCGCAGACGGGCTTCGTCACGTGCCTCAACACGGCGATCAAGAAGGACAAGCGCAAGCTCAAGCTCGCGACGTCCGCGGCGTCCGCGGCGAACAAGGCCTACGCGGCCCACGGCGGCCGCGCGGCCATGGCCGTCATCAAGCAGGAGAAGACGCCGCGGACGCCGGGCCGCGGCGCGCCGCTCCCGGCCGACGCGGGCCGCGCGACCGTCGCCGCGGCCAAGGCCGACGAGGGGTCCGTGACCAAGTCCGACGCCGACGACCGGCCCTGGGAGGACATGGGCGACCGCGACCGCATACGCTAGGGGGGGGGCGCGTAAGGGCCGGTCCTCGGGGGTTCCAAGGGTGCTGCGATAGCATGGAACACCGTGACTGATGAGGCTGCTGTGGCAGTCGACGCCGCTATCTATCCCGGTCGTGGTCGTCCGCCACGCCGTCGAAGTCTGTGGGCATGAGCATGCCCTGCTCGAGCTTCTCCTCCCAAAAGGGCAAGACCTTATGGAACCGTCGGTCGAGGACCGCGTCGTCGAGGGCGCCCGGCCGTCCTGGCATACGGAGTATTGCTAAGGTCCACGACTCTTCTGTATAGCCCTGTTGATGCAGACTTGAGTTGCGGTTTTGCCTTTATCCCTGGGGTACCAGAGCTGTTGACTGGGTAAACAATGCTATCCTCAAGCTGAGAGACAGGCGCTACCATATGTCCCGCATACCCACAACTTGAACAGTCAAGAAGATCCTCTGGGACTTCTTCTTACCGTTTTAGTGTCATCCACAGGTTGTGGGATGACGTCACAAGCCTGGACCTTACGGTCAAGCCAAAGCTGACACAGAGGTTGCTGTTTGCAGCGGGTAAACAGCAGTTCCTTGACGATGGCCGGGCAAATGGATTCCGTGACACCGCGGAGTGCGGGACGCGCGGCGGCGGGCCGTCGGAGGGGGGGCGGCTTGGGCGTCGCGGTCTCGGGCTCGCCCTCGTCGAGCTCGATGTCGATGAGAATGCGGTTGTTGTAGTGCATGGGCGGCACGCGCTCGCCCTCGGGCGAGACCATGAAGGCCTCCATGACGCTGGACCCCCGCCCCAGTCGAGGCGGGTGCTGCGCCTGTGCGGCCGCGGCAACTCGAGCTTGTGCCCCCCGTCCGCGCCGTCGTCGCCGCACGATGCTGCCCGCGAGCGCCGGCGTCCGACGCGCTGCCCGGGACGCCCCGGACCCTCTCGTCGCGCGCGCGGCCCGCCGCCTCGCCCCGCCCGCGCCGCGCCCCGCTCTACCTCACCGCCGCCGCCGCAGGAGCTCATGATCACGGTGCTGTCGACGGAGACGTGCCCGACGTCGGCGCCCTTCTTCGGCTTCATGGTGCGCGCCTC